GGGGGGGGGAGGGGCGGGGCGGCCTGCGTTACTGTGCGGAGGTGGGGGAGGGGAGCGCTGACTCACCCGCCGCGTCACTGCTGGTGTGTGTGGGGGGGGGCTCGGCTTGGCGCAACATGTCACAATATTTAATTTACAGGTTTTCATGTGCCTAATAAACATCAAAAACCACAAAGACCATCTACACTATATAATAAATACCCCTTCCAATTTCAAATATTTAAAAATCTGAATTCCATCTTCATCTAATTTTGTTTTATTTAACCACTAGATTTTAACTTCTAACATGTTTAATTTTAGCCTACATCATTTGAGACATATCCCACATAAAAACTTAAAATTTAGATTATAATATTACTGATAAATGTAAAAAAATTGGATCCATCGTAATAATTCAAATGATATGCAAAAAGCCTCTGCTCATGATCCTGATAGATTGAAACATTTGGTGGGTTAACAACAAAATGACCTGAACATTAAACATTTTAATAGCAGTTTATAATGAAAATAAAAGATAATGAACTATCTTCCCAACACATTACGCAAATTTATATATTTTTACCTTGACTGTTAAAAACAAAGTAATAAGAATAAATTATACATGAAAGTAGCAAATACCTTGCTGACACTGTTGGCCCATCTCACAACCACCCTCTTGCATCCTAGCATCATTCCATCAAGGGCATCTTTAGCTTTTGTTGCATCATTCTTAGCTGAATAAGTTACAAAAGCATAACCTCGAGGCTGCCCTGCTGAAGGTCCTGAGCGGTGAAAAAGGAGGTCAAACTTCTCAATGGTGCCATATTTTTGCACAAGTTTTAGGAGGTGGTACCGGTAAAAGAAAATATCGAACAAATAAAGATTAATTGTCTGCATTATTCACATAGATTTCAAATACTCTAATGTTACTTTGGTGCAGAACTAAAATAATTAACTTGTAAATTAATTATATAAAAATGCATAAGAAAAAGAAGTCACTCACTTCCAAAGGTGACTTTAATGTGCTCAGAGTGAGCAGAAAAATTCACCAAATTAATGCCACAACCTGACCATTTTGTCCATGAGATGACCATTATTTTCTTTATTCCTAACAACTACACCACATAATGAGATATAACCTATCTCTTAAGTTTGTTTCCATGTGTGCTTAATAAGTTTAAAACAATGACGAAGTCGCTTACAGATAAACTAATTAGGCACAACATCAAGCATAATGTACACAGATCAATATTTTGCCAGGAACACTATAGCCTGTCAATTTGGGGGGGTTAAAAAACTGGTACTGGGTTAATTCCAGTGGATGGCTTGGTCTTGTAGATTCCATACTTGTCAAATGTACCAACTGTAGGCCATTTAGGTACTTACTCAGTAACCCTATGATCCAAATTCCCTATCCATAGCCGTCTATCCTCAATAACGTTCTCTGGAACCGGATCCGGCAACGTAATTGGTTTCATCAGTGGCTGAAAAATCGTATATAGTACCTCTATCGACAATATTAACAGATGTTTATAAAGTATACAATGTAAAATATTTCGTCTTGTAATATACAGCATTCCAAACGGTGAAAATACAATACCTCACTTACGCTCGTCTTGGAAATGAAATTCATTCTTCAAACTTGAATTTTTTACTAAAACACGACAATAGTCACTTTACACTTCTAACCTATTTCGAAACCAAACATTCTAATTATATCAAATAATACTATGATGATAATATCACACTTGCTTATACTAACAACACACCCATACAGCCATTAACTGCAATCATACCAACATACGTTGACATAAGAACGTTTACATCAGGGATGTTCATATATACGTAGTACAGAATGATCATTTTTCAGGGAAAAAATAATAAATGTTCTAGTTGGCTTTGGCTCGCAGAACGTTTGAAGTAAATTATGAGTCAATCAACACGATCAACACCTCCACTTTTCTGGTTGGACTCCAATGATGCACTTTCATCCTTAATCCCAGATATTCCGATGGTCATCATGTTATTGCTAACATACAAATGGCGTGACGAAATTGATTTCGCGCAAAATTTCATATATATATCTGGACAAGATGGACTGTCTCATTCATTTCTCTATGGTTTCCACCTCCTTCTCACTCACGCACCCACACGCGCATTATTTGATTAATACTGTATATTGTTTAGTGTACACAAAGGTATACAGAAGACTTAAATAAACTTCAAACTGGATTTTCCAAACGCGTCGTTTACGACTTTATATCCATCATTGTCCATTTTGTTAATTTATTGCTCTAACAAATCTTGTAAGTAGTATAATGTTACAATTTTTCATATAAGTAGGGCTACAATGTTAGAGGAATACTTCCTTAAATTAGATCGAAACTCCATTATAACAATTTCTTTTATTTACCTATTAGCCACCATAACCTATTGTCGTTCATGCGACGCAATATTAAAATCCACGGATTTATTTCGTGTTTGTGTATATATAGTATATGCAAAGAAAGTCTGAACGTGTGACAATAGCCGAAACTTTATAAATCTCTTCAATCTTGAAGCAGCTGACCGCTCGAAAAGATTTAATTGCATTTCCATAAGGGCTTAAAATCTTATAGACTTAAAAGTGGCAGCACTTGTATATATATATACATGGAGACGAGTACAAGTTATATATAACTTGTACTCGTCTCCAAGTATAATTAGAGTGATCAAGTCGAGGAGGATGAGGTGGGCAGGTCATGTAGCACGAATGGGGGAGACGAGGAATGCGTATAGAATATTGGTGGGAAAGCCAGAAGGAAGGAGACCACAGGGAAGACCAAGGCGTAGGTGGGTGGACAATATTAGAATGGATCTTAGAGAGATAGGATGGGATGGTATGGATTGGATAGATCTGGCTCAGGATAGGGACCAGTGGAGGGCTCTTGTGAACACGGTGATGAACCTTCGGGTTCCATAAAATGCTGGGAAATTCTAGAGTAGCTGCAGAATTGGCGGCTCCTCAAGAAGGGCTCAGCTCCATGAGTAAGTAATATATATATATGTAAAACTACATCAATTCTGTATTGCATAGAGTAATAATTTGGGGTTTATGACCGTTTTTGGTTGAGTTGCAAGGAGTAACGTTTGGTCAACCCTGCCATAATGCTTAATTATGTCACTATTGGCAAACTCTACAAACCTAAACGCCAGTCTTATGTTCAAACTTCCATCATAATTAACTACTGAAACGGATAGATGGCAGCATAATATGCGCGAGATCTCGTTGCCAACTTTCTAATACCTAATACGTGTTTTTATGCGCATGCGTGCGTTGCTACGTACCAACATTCAGGCGATCAAGCAGACCGAAGGAAGAACACGTGTTTGTGAGATATGTAAGTATAATAATGTGCATGGCTATTAATTTGCACATTATTTAAGTGTTGACTGGGTTTAATAGTTATGAAAAACTGTAGTAGTATAAATACATATTCTATACATGTAAATTATGTTGGAAATATAGGTTGTATAATTCATAAAGTATTGGTATTCCAATAATAGTGTTGGCGTGAGTTAGACCGACAATAACAGTAGACAGTAACACTCCAAGAACAAGACAGAAAGTTAAAGTATAGGTAGTCGCATTCCTTTTTGACGTACCGCTTTTACTCATTATAGCGTAATTGTGAAAATGTATAACCTATATTGGTTATTGCATAAATCATAGCCCCCCCCCCCTTCAAATTATAGCATTCTGAGCTGCTGGATTTTCAGAGTTGTGAGAATTTAGATTATGGCCTGAGTTGCGACGTTCATTTACACTGACGTTGGAAGTAGCAGTTTCTACCACAACGTTGGCAACCACCCATGAGACTACTTGGTGTTTTTACTCAAATGATGTACCCAGCATTTTCTCCATTATGCAAATTTCTGTTCTCAGTCTGAAAAGGTGTGTCAAACCTGATTAAACTTGTTATGTAAAAATTATCATCTTTTGTCTTGTACTGTTTCCCTCATCCCTACATTTTTAATTTTTACCCCTTAAATTTTTTTCCACTGTTACTCATAAACAATTTCTGCAAGTTATATTTCATTCTTATATAACATTTCATCTAATGACATTGTAGTGGTACTTTGTTATATTGAAAGTAAATAGATTAAACAAGTTATCTCAAAAGTATTGTATACATTTGATAATAGATTGATGTTTAAAGTGTGTGTATTATTGTTCACAGTTGAGAAAGAGGACATCATTCATTATGAGCACTTCTTTGGCAGAGCAGCTTAAAAAGCTAACAGTACCACAGACATCTCTTCTTATTCAGGGCAAAGCGAGGCCTTCACTGTTGTTTGATCCCCGGGAAGCAGCCAAGTTTGATAGAGACACTTTTTACGAAATAGGTATTGATTCTGCAATTTAATAATTTAGTATTTATTATATGGTAATCATGCCTGATTTTAAGATCTTATATTAATTATTTATTCTTCAGAATAGAAGAGAAGATGAAGTGTTATAACCCAGAAAATTGCCATGATAACTGCAAATCTCAAACTGTATGATTTTTCACCTTATTTGGTTGAAAAGTATGTCATAAAGACATATGGGAGAGTGGAGCTCAACCGTTCTTGACCTGAGAACTAGATGGAGTGAGCAGTCAGCATCATGGCCCTGCCACTTTACCCTCAGGGAAAGAGCCCCTAATAACCACTGGGTGGGCTCCAGAGCCAGTCTGGATACTTTGGGGTAGGGTAATTTTTGTTGCCCCAGCCAACAATTATTTGGCTGTCCAGCCCATAGCCCATTGTAATACCAATGGAGCTATCCTGGTTCCATACTTTATTTGGTAGTTAAATTAATATAAACTTTGTTTCTGCTGGTCACGGTAGCTGAGAGGTCTAAGGCATGTACTGTCTTCGCTCGCTCAGAAACTGGGATCATGGGTACAAATCCCATACAAGGCATGAATGTTTGGTGTTTGCATGTGTTTATTCTGTGTTTGTTTTGTCTAGTGTTTAGGTAGACGCCTTGCTACGAACTGATGACTTGTCCAAGGAGTGTTGCAATTTGTAAAATGGTCATGAAACTGAAAAATCAGAGGACAGGGCCCAAGGGGGCTGTAGAGCCAGCAAAAAAAATATTGTTTCCTGTAAGACACTAAAACTGACTTTGTTGTGGGCTGGTACTGTGTATGTGTATTTGTGTTAAATAATATGTCTGTAGTAGCAGTAAAAGTTGTGTCACAGAATTGAATACAGTGATGTTGTGGCAAGTAAGCTATTGTTCTCTGTGCATACTGACAAATAAATGTGTTAAAAATGCTTCTCATAATTATTATTTGCTTGTATAATATGTAAGGTTTTCATTGCAGCCTTATTTGTTATGAAAAAATGTAATTTGGTAGGTAGTTAGCAGTGCTCCAGAGGAATGTAACTGCCTCCTTCTTCAGGGTGGAAGCAGTGTGTTCCTCAAAACGTTAAGAAAGTTGCTCGAGAAAAGCACAATATTAATTTTGCTTACTGGGTTGTTGCCAGGTGTTAGTGGCCTTGAAGAGTTGGTAAAACTGAATCCCAGGTTTGAGGAGTTCCATAGACACTTGTTTGATTTATCATCTCGATCCTTGGAGAGATCAGTGGAAGATAAGAAGACTAACAAATCTTTGAACAAACTCATCCGGAGATTTTTACTTCTTCTGTCACCATATTTCCTTCTTAAAGCTTCACAGAAGGCACTGGAATGGCTGGTAAACAGGTTGGATTCATGTTTTATACTTGTTGGTTCTTTGTGTAATGCAGTGTGTGTTACTGCCACTGTCTGTTGATATCCATACTTGTTTGCTCTAACTCTTATAAATTGCGGTGTGAAAGAACTGTATTATTATTGTTTTAGGTTCCACATCGAATCATACAATGTCAGTGATTTAATGAGCTTGATATTCCCTTATCATGATACGCGCATTTTTGTGCGGGTGCTGCAGATGATTGATGTATCAGATCCGGCCAACAGATGGCACTGGCTACACCCTTTACAAGAACCTGGTGTTCCATTGTCAAAAACTGCGTTACTTAATCGATGTGCAACTGATGCATCTTTCCTTCATTTCATTTGTAAGATGACCTCAGATACCGTCAAGGAATATAGTATGTATAATATAATTAAAAAAGTTAGCATTTAAAGGGAATAATTGTGAGGGAGATTCATGATTTTATGGTGCTTAATGGTGACGTTTTTGTGTAAAATGTAATGGTATTAAATTATTTCTATTATCATAAAACACAAAATCACCATTGGCCTGACCTGACCCTGATTCAATGTTCTCATCTTGTAGAATCTCTTATCTCTCTGTAACCATCTGCTATGTATTTTATAGTTCTTTTAGCTGTTCTCTTGGGGTCCATTTATAGAAGATGCACATTCATTTTTCTTTCATTCTGGGTTGGTTCGTCCAAGTTAAAAATTTGTAGTTTACTTCATTTTATTGCTATGATGATGAACACAAAGACCATGTCTAGAAACATGTTTAAAAATTTAATTTCTGCTATGTAAATCTTTCTTCTGTCAGTTCTGTTTAAAGCCCTGTTTTTGATTAATAATGGTACTGCTGTAGCTGAAATTTTAGCTGTATTTCTGTATGGTTTTGTTTTTTCTTTAATGTTCTCCTTACATTGTAACACACATGTTCCAGTTTATATAATTTTTTATCCAACCCTTTATTACAGCCATAAGATACATTATACGTCAAATAATTAAAACATGGTACCTTTTCTGTATATATGATGCATATTGTTATATGTGTATGCACAGATGCTTTGAGCTACTCTATATCGTGATGTCGAAAAGGAAATCAGCCATTTCCTGGGCAAAGAACAAATACTTTGCTCTTCACTATCATATGTTATATTGGCACAGCTGTCTGTAAGTAACAAAAACAACTTGTGATTATTGTTCTGGTGTATGTAAACCTGTGCATCACATGCCATAGCTCAAGCGGTTAGTCGCTGGCTTCCCACTGAGGCTGCCCGGGTTCGATCCTGGGTCTGGTCGAGTGGGATTTGTGGTGGACAAACTGGCGCTGGGGCAGGTTTTCTCCGAGGACTTCGGTTTCCCCTGCCACTCTCCATTCCACCAATTGCTCCACAATCACCCTTACCTATCATCTGGGGCTGGTACAATAGGCCAGAAGTGGTCGCAATACAAGGGACTTAGTCCCACCCCACTAGCATAAAAAAACCTATGCAGCAGTCAGGAAATAGAACATTCTTTTGTTGTAGAAAACCAAGATGGTGTTCTCTCTACTCTCTTGGCTTTCCATTGTACCACAATAGTGGGAGGGCTGGAACATGTGAATAGAGTGAATGAACTTCAAATGACACATCTACTGAAGTCCCTGCTTGAGGGTCTGACATCACCCTTACTGGATTATGTAGCCGGTTCATATATGATAATCGCACAGCTTACACGCCGCACTCAGCTGTCACCACAAATCTTCTATGGAATTGTGGACAAGATTGCTGAGGTATGCTCTACTCGTATGTTTTATGCTGAAGTCTGTTCATTTTAAAGTAACGAGTTAAATTATCCTAGTATTAATCATGCATTTGCAAATTAAAAATCTTGGCACTGCATAGCCTGAGCTACAGACAGCGCCATTAAATAAACCACAAATGAAATAAATAAACTGATGGAAAACTAGAAGAATAAGCGATAAATTTAATTAAATTTTATTGAGGTTATTACAGTAGTGAATATTAACGCTTCCGCTCCAACATATGGCCAGAGATCCAAGAAGTATAGCCATATATGGGGGCCTGTATCTGTCTTAGGCCAGATATCAACATTTCACTTTCAGAAAATGATTATGTAGCGTAGTTGGTCACTATACATCGATGGCATATGGATCAGTATTTCCTTGGCCTTGAATATCGTATGTCAGTGTTATTCCCCTTTCTTATGCTTTGTTGGTTCAGTAAGCTTGCAGTTCGGCAGTGTGTCTGCTCATGTCCCATATTGTAACATGTTATGGCAGGCAAGAAGATATTGAGTGGTGATCATATAAGGGAAGTGTTTAATGAAGATTCTGAAGATGGTTTAATTCCAGAATGTGATTCAAATGAATCGAATGACATTAAAAGGCCTGGATCTCCAGAAATTATAAGTGATATTGCAGATGAGGCGACGTCTGATACATTGCCAAGCTGCTATCCGCCTCTTGCACCATTTACAAACAAAAAAAAATTAGTGAAACTGGGTGGTATTGTCAAAAGTGTGGTGTTCCTCTACATCTTGGGAAATGTGATACCAGGTACCACACTCTCAAAATGTACTAAAATATCTGCAGGAGGTATGTGCAGAGTTTCAGATTCCTGTGTGTCATAGTTTACAAGCAGAGAGTTTCCAGATTTTGGTGGTATGTGAATGCATTAAAAGTACCCTGACATTTAAAAACCCTGGGCTGGACAATGAATTTGCCCACTAAGAGACTTGTAGCGAACATGTTAAGACTGCAGTCTTCAGGGTTCAGTCCTGAGGGTGGTAATGTTTGTTTGTATTGGCAAGCGGGAGGTGTGTGCACAGACTGACCAAGCTTATCAGCTCCTGTCACCTGTCAGTAAATAAGACATCTGTAAAATTGGTGCAGACATTCATCTGATAAGTAATAATGTAAAAAAAGGTAAGGTAAAGCTATCCCTGTAACAGGCTGTGAAGTTCCACAGTGTTGTGAGAGTTCCAGTCTCCTGCATTTTCTCTCGACAATTGGCTCACAGATGGCGGTAAGGTTGTCAGCTTTATGTGCCAGCCCCCCCCCCACCACCACCGCCAAGGAAGACTCGTGGTACTCATTTCTGTTAGTTGACCCCAGGGCCATAGTGTGGCTGAAAGACTCAAATAAATCGAAAAAATCCACCTCATTGGGAGTTGAACCTGTGGCCTTCAAGCTTGTAACATAGCGCCTTGACCAACTATGCTACTGCATGGCCCCAAGTAGTAATGTAGGGAAAGGAAATAGAAATAATGAGAAGAAAATTTTCAAGAAGCTGCAAAATGTTTTTGGAAATGATGTGCTTGTACTTGAAATATGAAACATAGATATTGATACACTGATTTTATTATTATTATTACATTACTAAATTACTCTATATGTTGTACAGTGCAGCCAGCCTAAACTTCATTCAGAATGTGTGCTGCTGTTGGTTCTTCTGTATCAAACTCAGCACTCCAAGAAGTTGCCATTTGTGTCAGCACATACTGTGGAGCGATTGGCACGTCACAGTTGGTTCCCAGAGGTTTTGAGACAATTACGTGAAGCTGCCGTAAATATTATGCCATTCTTCCTGCCTCTCCTTCGTGCCACACTGTCAGCCGTTCAGTCCAAAACTGGTGATAGAACGGATCTGTGTAACTTTGCTGGAGAGCTTTTGGAAGTCTTGGATGAGAATGTGGCTCAGCATGTCATTCAGTAAGCTTTAATATATCAGTTTTCTTATTGTAGTACATTAAGCTGCCTGTTATCTGTAATGGGACCTATTGGTTACCAGTTGGTGAGAAAAGCACTAATCGAAATCCAGTACATAGTCAGAACATCTTGTCTCTCCTGTTCTTGCATGACAGTCTTTCTAGGTGACAGTGGATTTTTTTTATTGCTAGTGACGTGGGACTAGGTGCCTTGTCCTGCGGCCACTTCTGGCCTATTGTACCAGCCCCAGATGATAGGTGAGGCTGATTGTGGAGCAATTGATGGAATGAAGATTGGCAGGCGAAACTGAAGTACTTGGAGAAAACCTGCCCCAGTGCCACTTTGTCCACCACAAATCCCACTTGACCAGACCCGGGATTGAACGTGGACTGCCGCGGTGGGAAGCCAGTGACTAACCGCTTGAGCTATGGCGTGGCCTGACAGTGGATTGAGGGATGAAAAACTGGAAGCATATACGGTTACATGATCATAAATTCAACTAGGCTGTACTCTAATGCCACCTGAATGATGTGGACTGGTTATGTCTGTCTGAAAATTAAACTTTTGAAAATTTTCTTGACCAGCTGAGTGACTGTCATCTTCTCAAGAAGGATTCTGCTCTTTGTAGCTTATCAGGGTTGACAGTGGATTCCTTCCATGTCTGTAGAATAGTCAGTGTGGGGTGTTTTTATATTGTTTCTCCATTAAAAAGTTAGTAGAGTGGACAAAACAAGTGGTGAGTTTCTTACATGTACGTGTTCCTGTCTTTTATCATATAGTTTATGCCATGTGTTTTTAATGATTATTACACTCAACGAATGTTCTTACTTACTTATGGAGCTGAACCCTTCTTGAGGAGAAGCCAAATCTGCAGGTACTCAAGAATTTCCCAGCATTTTATGGAACCCAAAGGTTCATTACCGTGTTCACAAGAGCCCTCCAGCGGTCCCTATCCTGAGCCAGATCAATCCAGTCAATACCATCCTATCTCTCTAAGATCCAATTTAATATTTTCCACCCACCTATATGCCTTGGTCTTCCCAGTGGTCGCTTTCCTTCTGGCTTTCCCACCAATATCCTATATGCATTCATCTCCCCCATTCATGCTACATGCCCTGCCCACCTTATCCTCCTTGACTTGATCATTCTAATTATACTTGGAGAAGAGTACAAGTTGTGAAGTTCAAGGTAGGGCATTTGTATTCTGACACCGAATAGGAATTAAGTAGGTTTGTAGGTGTGAGTCACCTTTGAAGGCCTGAAAGTTGTTTTCTCATAGAGAGCACTGTCTCTCTTGAAGAGAGCAGTCTTCTGGGATTTGGCACCGTGTATATGTGGTGTTAACCGACGTTTCGGAGGAACGTATCGCCTCCATCATCAGGGTAGAAGAAAAATATATAAGAAATCTGCAAAGAGACCGTGAGAACCGGTAAAAGCAGACGTCATAGTCACCGCCATGAAAGCCTCAAATCTTACACTGTCTCTCTTATTACAAAGACCAGCCAATTAATCATGTTCAGAGAAATGACAATTGTTTATTCTGGAAGTTGTGTGAAATACATGAACACTCTCAGTGGGAAAAACGTGAAGTCCTTTGCAGGTGGTACATGTAAAGTGCACATATACCAGTGTTAATCTTGTGGGCTCCTGTCAATAAATGTGCTCTGTTCTTCCTTCCTTACTTGCTTGCTTGCTTGCTTGCTTACTTAAGGAGCTGAGCCCTTCTTGAGGAGAAGCCAAATCTGCAGCTACTCAAGAATTTCCCAGCGTTCTATGGAACCCAAAGGTTCATTACCGTGTTCACACAAGCCCTCCAGCAGTCCATATCCTGAGTCAGATCAATCCAATCAATACCATCCTATCTCTCTAAGATCCAATTTAATATTTTCCACCCACCTACGCCTTGGTCTTCCCAGTGGTCGCTTTCCTTCTGGCTTTCCCACCAATATCCTATATGCATTCTTCGTCTCCCCCATTTGTGCTACATGCCCTGCCCATCTCATCCTCCTTGACTTGATCATTCTAATTATACTTGGAGAAGAGTACAAGTTATGAAGCTCCTCATTATGCAGTTTTCTCCAACCTCCTATCATTTCATCCNGTCCAAATATTCTCCTCAACACCATGTTCTCAAACACCCTCAGTTTATGTTCCTCCCTTAATGTCAGAGACAAAGTTTCACACCCATACAGAACCACCAGCAAAATTGTAGTTTTGTATATTCAACTTTGTATGTTTTTGGACAGCAGATGAGAAGGCAAAAGGTTCTGGACTGAATTTTAGCAAGCATTGCCCGAGTTCAATCTCCTCTTAATTTCCTCCTCAATCAGATTTTGATTTGTTATCGTCGTTCCCAAATATCTTAACTGTGCCACATTTACAAAATATCTGTTTTCTGTTGTTATGTCATGATTTAGCCCTACATTTTGGTGACAAGACAGCAACATATACATAGTTTTCTCTGTGTTTACTTCTAGACCAACCTCTGTACTTGTGTCAATTAAAGTCCATGTGTTTTTCTTTATGGTATTTATATTATCACCCATTAGATTCACATCATCAGTGTAGACCAACAGCTGATGTGTCCCATTTAATTTCAGTCCCACCTGGTTTTCCTGGACCTTCCTAATGGCATATTCTAAAGCAGAGTTTGAAAGGAGAGATGATAAAGCATTCTTAGACCATTCTGGATAGGAAATTTATCAGACAAATATTTACCTATACGAACTTTACTTTGAACACATTTTAATCAGATTAACTAGTTTCATGGGTATCCCAAACTCTATCAGAATATTGTACAGTAATTCCCTCCTAACTGAATCATGCTCTATTCTATAAAGTTAATCTTTTTTTGCTTACAGTGAAGCATATCAGTTCATTTTTCTATAATATCTTAATATTTTAGTGTTTAATTTTTTATAGTAAATGACCATTAAATATGTAGGATTTGAGGTTTTCAGAGCAGTTACTATGAAGAATGCCGTCTTCTGGGATGAGGTGCTGTGTAGATCTTGTGTGAACTGATGTTTTGGAGGAACGTATCGGCTCCACTTTAGGGTAGAGGAAATTATGTGCAAGGAACCATTGTGAGCAGATGGCTAGCAGACTGAGCCACCAGTTGAAAACACCCAGCTATATAAAAAACAGGATGGGAGGGAGAGTGGACCACATGGGAAATCAACAGAGGAGAGGGTTAGTGTCTCTAGAGATCAGTAGCAAGGCCAGGCCAGCAGGTAGCAGAAAGCGGGCTAGAGCAGGCAGAAAGAAGCTGCCTGCTCTCCTGGCCTTCCTATCTGATCTCTACAGACCCTTCCCCTCTCCTCTGTTGATTTCCCATGTGGTCCATTCTTCCTCCCATCCTGTTTTTTATATAGCTGGGTGTTTTAAACTGCTGGCTCAGTCTGCTCGCCATCTGCTCACAATGGTTCCTTGTGTACTGATTCCTCTACCCTGAAGATGGAGGTGATATGTTCCTCTGAATCATCAGTTCACACAAGATCTACATGGTGCACATCCCAGAAGATGGCATTGTTAGGCTGTTAAATAGATTTTGCTCTTTAACAGCTTTCTTAATAAATAATCAAGTAAAGCATGATTCTCATGTATTGTTTGATAGAACCACCATTGAAACATTTGATGTGGATGGCCTTGCTGCATCTGAGAAAAGAAGTTCAGAAGATGAGAAAGATGTTGAGATTGGAATTGTTGATACAGAAGAGATGGTATCTTGGTATGCTGGTTTCCTGAAGTCTCTAGAGAACCGATATGCAAAGTCATATGATGCAGTGATTCGTAAGGTCTTGGGCAAGGATGGCGGTTCATCAAAAGAGGCCACAGCATTAAGAACCCTCCTGGGAGTAGCAGGACGGGAAGATATTCCCCTTGGTGGCACAGATTTGTTCGAGAAGATCCATCACCCTAATGCTGCAGTGAGAACAGAAGCTGTCCAGTATCTTGTTAAAAATTATAATTCTCTGCAGGAGCGTGACAAGGATTTGGCATGTTCTGCATTGACTGCTAGGCTAAGGGATGATAATGCAAAGGTGAGATATGTACCATAATGAAGCATGTTTTGATAATAGCTGCATGATTCAAATCAGGCTTGTGTATTGTTAGTGGTTGATAGTGGTTATGTAGCACTTAATACCTATGTCTTTGTGGTGCATATGCAATGAAAAGTTACAAAAATGCACCTATCAGCTTTGTGTGTCTGCAGGGATTTTCCTTTAGAAATGCAGCCAGTCTGATAAAACAATTTATAAAGCAGTATTTTTGTTGATGGTTTCCTTTGAAAAATACCATACAATATCTCCTTTACACTGCAGTTGCGAGGCTGGAGTCATGAAACCTCAGCACACATTTAGCTTTTCCTACTTGGAACACCATTTCTAGAGCTGTGTGTATAGTGCTTCAGGTGGAAAGATTGGAAAATCAAATGACCAAAATTATAAACTTGGTTATATGATCTACTCATATGTATTCAGTTTTCAATCTTGCATCTGTCATTTCATTGGCAGTAATACAGTAAAATTTTTGTCCCCATATTTATGATATTTTATGTAATGAGATCCTACTACCCACAATAAGGAACTGGGATAGCACAGTTGGTATAGCAACTGGCTTTGGGCTGGATGACTGAGGGGTCATGGTTGAGTCCTGGTACAGTGAAGAATTTTCTCTTCTCCACGTCATACACATCAGCTCTGGGGCCCACCCAGCCTTCTATTCATTGGGTACTGGGGGCCTTTCCCCAGGGGTAAAGCAGTCGGGGCGTGAAGCTTACTACTCATCTCCAACTAGTGCTGAGGTCAAGAAAACGTGGCTCAATACATCGACGCCCCCATATGTCTTCATGGTGTAGTGCTTAATTAATTAAGCACAGAGACAACTTTACTTTACCCCTCACAATAACCAGGAGTTCTCAAGGGTGGGAAGATTGTGCAGCATGCAAACAACTCAGAGGTTTACAGTTCTCTGAGATGTCATGCTATGTAGTACAGTGTATTTTGACAGAACCTGCTGCCACCATCTTCAGGCTAAAAAACGGAGGTAGGGTGTGCCTCTAAAGTCATCACATCCCAGAAGACCATAGTCATCGTATTCACCATGTGAGAACCTATGATCTCAACTAAAATTACTATCACTATTAGTATTACTGTATTTTATGTGTGCTTGTTTTCTTGCTTCAGAAGCATTTCCCAATTTTGAGAAGTGATTTGGCTCATTCTAGAACAGTTGTAATACAAACATTTCTTCATGATAGGTTGTGAGAATGACACTTACTCTTCCTACGGAAACACTGGTGGAGTTGCTGGGAGCAGATGCAGCGCTGGAAGAGCTGATATCATTGGCTATGCAATATTTGGACAAGTCTGGCAAGGTTTCGTTGGAAGTTTCCTGCTTGTTAGTGCAGCATTTGTGTTCTGGTCTGCTTCATGCTAACTCAGAACTTGCTGAGATCCGCATTCTACTGACATTACTTCCATTTCTCATGCCTGTAAAGGATAAGGAAATCGATGTCATGATTGAACTTATAAAGCAACATTCATTCATTAACAAATGCAAGTTCTTGGCTGCTTTAATAAGGGGTAAGTTTTCATTGTCAGTTAACAATCTAATTGGTGGAGTATGCCTACCATTATAGATTCCATGTTATGCTCATAGTATGTACTGTTGAGCATAGTTGTCAGCACGGTAAAACATTTGAGATCTGAAATTATCATGGTAGTGAAGATCATCTGGGTTTCATGTGGGTTGTTAGCAGTGTTTTCGAGGAATGTTTGGCCTCCATATATACATATATTTCACAAGTCTAAAATACAATGGACATGAAACTGGTCACAAGCATAACACAAACAAACAAAGCAGAAAAACAATACAAAGCTAAACAAACACTGTAACTGATTATTCACTCTGTGCTCCAAAAATGAGTTATTCATGCGATATGAAAGATTTGAAGTTGGAATATAAATTTGATTCTTGCTTCTAGTGTTCAGGCCATGAATCTCTGAACCTGAACAAAAATTATTTTGATTATCACAAACAACATCAAAGAAAAAATATATTCACATGACAATGGTAAAATATCTAATTTCTTAAAAAGATTTCTACATGAGTCTCTGTGTCCCACTCCCAATACGGTCCTTATTACTTTCTTTTGTAATTTAAAAACTCTAGAATTATTATTCATATTGCCCCAGAGGAGTATTCCGTACTTAATGTAAGAAAAATACACCATTTGCAGGGTTTCTAAATTCATAAAATAAGATAAACTCCTAATTACAAAAATAGCGGAACTGAGTTTAGGCCTTCCTAAACTCAGTATTCCACACAACTCTTCCAATTCGATTTATTATCAATTTGTATGCCCAGAAATTTTATTACAGGGACATCATTCAGTACCACGTTTCCAAAGGATACTGCCAGCAAAGAGCTGGCAGACTGTTTAGGAGCAAAATTAAAAATATTAGTTTTGTTAATATTTAAGACCAACTTGTTCGCTATAAACCAATTTACAGTGAGAGGCAAGTAACTTTGTGCTTAAGCGCACAGTGATTTTTTTTTTAAAAAAATACTGGTGTCATCCACAAAGAGAAAAACATTGGCAAATTTATTAATGCATAATGGCAAGTCATTAATATAAATACTAAACAGAAGTGGTCCTAAGGCCGACTGCTGAGGAACTTCTTGCTTAACTCTTTCCCATTTAGAGAAATAATCATGATCATCTTCAATTTTGAGTTGCACTCTCTGTTTTTTACCTGATAGATAGGATTTAAACCAATTTAAATTACAATGCTGAATGCCATAATACTCCAATTTGGATATTAATATCTCATGATTAACACAATCAAACTCCTTGGCAAGGTCACAAAAAATCTCAACAGTTAGAAGTTTATCATTCCAGGCTTGAAGTATGTCAGTGGTAAGTGAAAAAGCAGCATGATCTCTTGAGTAAGAAGATAATTTTATTACAACTATTGTAGCCATATTTTTGGGTACCTTATTAACATTTTAAAAATGTCACTGTCTTAGTTTCTTTATGCTTTTTTGTTACAGAATTAAAATCTAGAGGCTCCACAAACACGCTTACAGACATATGTTCCGCTTTTTTGAAATGTCTGTCTGAAAACAGAGAGCTACTTCCAGATGTTGAACTTCTGTTGGAAGCTACTCAGAAGGTGGATCCAGCCAACAGGAAGCCTGTTCACATGCTATTGCTACTGCTGATGCTCGTTTCATCTGTTCTGGAGCGACCCACTCCAGCCCTCAGCCAACAGATACTAGATGTGGCTGTGTTATATTCTGAACAATTTCAGGTAAAGACACATTTTTCTGTTAGAAAGAAAAACTGGTACTTGCATTATCTGCACTTTGATGTCCTTAGCCAATATTATTTCTACATTTTCTTAGATGCATGTAAGCTATTAAAGAATTTAGTTTCAATAATTTTGGAGTTAATGAATAGTGACAAGAAAGAATGTGAAAGATGAGAGGACAAAGAAACTTTTAAAACATGCAGTCTAACATGAATTTGTAAGAGTTGAGGCTTTCACGGCGGTGACTATGAAGAAAGCAGTCTTCTGGGATTTGGCACCATGTATATGTGGTTTCCTTCTACCCTGAAGATGGAGGTGATATGTTCCTCTGAAACATCGGTTAACACCACATATACATGGTGCCAAATCCCAGACGACTGCCTTCTTCATTAACATGAATTTGTTTACCATATAACAATGTGTAATGGTTACCTCTTCTGCCATATGTTCACATGGATTGGGAATAGAGCAACTTCAAGCCTTTATATCTTGCCCCATGCAGAAATTCTTCTGACTAGTACCAAAGCCACAGACCCTGGAAATCACATTCCTGTTATAATTGTATTGACTGATACTGAATGTATGCATTTTAGGTGGCAAGAGTGAAAGGGGACATGTTGGTGATTGATGGTACTGTAATGGCTGATTGTGTAACAGCAGCGCGTGCAGGTTGTTTTCCACTGGTGGTATTCCTGTACAGTGTGTTACAACTGTCCCGACACACGCTGTTCCCAGACATATTGAAGTCAGAGCAAGAAAGCTGGTGGGATCTTGAGCATCGTGGCAAGACAAGAAAAGACAATGAGCTGACACTTAGGTTTGCTGTCAGAGTGTTGGAGGTTCTCCTCACAGGATGTGGTGTTCGTTACAAAGATGTCCGCATGCAGTATGCTGCTTGTCTGAAGGAATTCTTCAAGGTACCTAAATTGATGCATTTATTTCTGTATTGTCAGCATCCTAAGTTTTAAAGAAAATTATGAAGATACTGATTTTCTATGTAACACCTGCTTCAGGTTTTTTAATAAAATTCTGTTCAGCAAATTTTGATACAGTTCACTCTTCAGTGTTTTATTTTCTATAACGATACACACAGCCAGTAGCATGAGTACAGGCTGTATGATGTTCCAGATATGATGAAGGGTTTTGTTTTTCTGTTACAAAAAAAAACAAGGAGTTGAAGTGTTAGAAATTTAATTCTATATTTATGTAAAGTTATGTATTTTGTAAAAAATGACTAGGTACAGGAATTTGCAAATTTCATATATTGGGCTTTGAATGTGTTAATTACCAAAATTGGATTAGTACCTCAGAAATTGGAGATCTTAAATTGAAGATTATTCTCTAGCGCTGTGCCTCATTACTGATCTATTATCAGGGGCTGATATAGCAGGCCAGCGTGGGACTGCAGTAGCATGGGACTCGGTATCACCCCAGTCTTACAACTAAATGGAAGACAATGATAATGCAGCTATTTCCTTTCTCAATGATAAGAGTTTTTTTATGTTGGTATGTATGTTTGGGACCTTGATGGGATGGCCATATGTCTATGATATGGGAGACCAAGATTGACAACATAATTCTGTTGAGTAAACCCCTTCAGAGCTCAAGAAGAATCTTAGTAAAGTTGGTTGTAATGAGGGAAGGTGGGCGGAACTATCCCAGAGTCATGTCCAATAGGGGGCTTTGTTATTAGCAAGTTTTAACTTTTATGTTTTGCTACTGAGCACTCATTGTGTGAACACATTTTGTTACCTAAGTAAGAACGTTATGAAATTCTCATAATGTGAATATTAAGATTATGATTCTGTATTTCAGCATCCTGTTGCAATTGTTTAACTTAACGTCCATGTACATGGACTTTAAATTAGGATTATAAACTTATGTGATGTGACACCATATACTTTGGCAGATATCAGTGTTTTGGAGGTATCTGCTGTCTCTGTCTTCAGTGCAGAAGAGGCCTCTTGAAGATCAAGGCAATGAGCCCCTCAGAAAGGCTGGTACAGTTTGAGTCTCAGCTTTGCAACGGTAGAGTCTGGAAAATGTGGGGAGAAATATGTTTTATGGTGGCTGCAGTAACAGGAAAACAGGATGTGATATAGCATAACATTTGAAAACATTTACTGCAGTAGCGAATATGAGAATAAATGATAATATTTTCATATAGTGTATAACAATCAGAATGGTGTCCAATATAATAGTGTAGTTTAGTTGGTGGGTTGTGGAGAACATACATTTTGTGCTACAGTTTTCACTGGTGAATCAGTATGTTTGTTATTCCTAGTATCATATGCTTCACTCCTAACAAGTGGGGGTGTGTTCTCTCTACCCAGTGTGTCTGGTTCATGTTCCATAGGCAATCACAAAGTTGAGCCATAACAGTACATGTATACCTTATTACATGATGTCACATCCCAAAAGATCATAATTTCAAATAATTGTTTGTTTGTTCAGGTGTCTTTTCCAACATCAGTGTCACAAGTGAAGTTCCTGTGCAGTGTAATTGCATATCCTGGATCTGAACATGGGGTAGTTGGCTGGTCTGAACTGAGGTTGCGTTGCCTGCGTCTTGTGGCTGCTATCTTAAGACAATCTGATGATTCCATCAGCTGGGCACTTCGCTTAAAGGAAACTGTTGTTCCGGCACTGATGACTGCAGCAGCGAATCCCCTTGCCCCCATTCGTCATGCAGCATTGGACTGCTTGCTTGTATTGGCATCCTCCATTGGTGCTGGTCTGGATTCTAACACATACATACCCCTACTGGAAGCAGTAAAGGACAGGCGTGAAGAGATTATGCTAGATGCAGAGTATGTACCCATTTGTGTGACATTGTACTTATGGAGCAAAGTTGGATGTGCCTTAGCTCAGATGTTTGGTCATTGGCATCTCACTGCAGAGACCCAGGTTCAATCCCAGGATAGTGCATGTGGGAATTATTATTGACACAGTGGTACAGGGGTAAAGTTTTCTCTGAGAACTTTGGTTTTCCTTGCTAATTACAGTGAAATCCCATAGTAAATATAGTATTTGGTCCTAACCAAAGTCATATGTGACAAAAATGTATTATTTTTCACATTATTGAATTATGAATTAAGGAAAATTCATTTAATGTAAGAAATTTTTGATCTTGAGCAGCTAGTACCATGATTTAATGTGACGGTGATTGAATTAACAGTCAATATTCATGTTTCCTTTTTGCTAGAAATCATTCCTGCACAACCATTGTGTTCATTTCATATACTAATAATTATTCTAGAAATTAATTCTATATTATTATTATATAATTGTATTTATTTGTAGAAACAGTGTCCTTTACTACGTATGTAAAAAATTATCATGTCATCATTTTTAGTGAGTCTTATAAGAGTCGAAAGTTTTTGTTATCATTTTGCATAACCTCCTTATGACACAAAAATCTGGATTTAGTGTAAGAGAAACACCAGGAGATTCATTACTAGGGATTTCCCTGTAGTATCCATCACTGGTTCATACTCATCTGTCACGAAGGGCCTGTTTGAGGTCACAGTACCCAGGGAGTCCGTCTCGCTCCTCTGCTGCAACTAGAAGGGAGATGTAGGAAGTGAAATTAATAAAGATGGGAACAGAAGGTGTGAAATGATTTGAAAGGTAGATTTTAGTTCAGAACTACCTTGTCTGTGTAACTGAACAGGAATGTACAAAGAAAAAGAAAAGAGCTATGTAAGAGACCTGTTTTAAACTGATACCATACAAGCTTACCACCACATCATGATCGTCTGGACCACTACTGTGGTCTAGTGGTCAGAGTTCCTGGCTACAGATCCAGAGATGTGGGTTCGATTCCTGGCACTACCAGATGTTCTGAGAAGTAGTGGGTCTGGAACGGGGTCCACTCAACCTCGTGAGGATAATTGAAGAGCATTGAAGAGCTGTTTCAAGGAAATAGCAGCTCCGGTCTAGAAAACCGAAATTAACGGCTGTGGGGATCTGTTGCACTGACCACATGACACCCTGTAGCTGCTAAAGTTGGCACTAACCTCACCAACAAGTGGCGGTTTGCTTGCAGACTAAACCATGGAGTTTTGTTTCTTGTTTGTTATGATCGTCTGCTGAGTCTTTGTTTTTGACATTATTTGACATTTTCTCCTTGTAGTTGATGGCTAAGGGTAACAGATGCAGGAGTTTTGTGCTTTTCCTTTTATTTTTAAATTATATATGTGTTGTTTTTGCAGCACTTACAGCTGTTGGGGGTGAGGTCAGAAGTAAAATGATTGGAAAAAATTAAATCAATAGAAATGCATACAAATTGTTTTTTTTTTCTGTTTCCAGTCAGCTGTCATTGGTTATGTACACAGTTCTGTCTCCAGACCCTGCAGTTCAAAGCCTTTTGAAACCGTCGCAACAGCCACAACTGGCAGCTGCATTGAATGCTCTGCTGACCTGCATTACCTCAATTAAGACACCGTTATACATCTCTATGGGCCTTCTGGATATTCTGGCCTCTGTTAACTCACAGGTTTGCTGCTTACACAATAACAGGTAGAGTTAAAGATTCCTCATGGTGCCTCCTTTTGGACATATGGACACAGTGCTTGTTATGCAGTTAACACTTTGATGTTCCTATGCAGATAACATTGTCTTCTCAAGTTAAGAAGGATGAGATGACATGACCCAGAAGTGTGCTCTAAGAATTTAACTACCAGTTCATATATTCAGTTGGTAAAGTTATCCCTGTGACAAGCCATGGAGGTCATAAGGTTGTGAGAGGTTGAGGCACACATCTTCTAGACAGTTGGCTCACAGATGGCGCTAATGTTGTCAGCCTTACACGCCAGCCGCTCTTTACCCCCAGGAAGATTCCTGGTACTGTTTCTGTTAGAGACCGAGTTGACCCCAGGGCCATAATGTGGCTGGAAAGATTAGGTAAACTGAAAAAAAATGTCCACCTCATCGGGACTTGAACCTGTGATCTTCCGGCTTGTAGTATAGTGCCTCAACCAACTACGCTACTACGTACCCCATATTCAGTTGTCAGATGCCAATTTTTTTATTAGCTTACTGTTCAGAGTAGAAAAGGGGCTTATAATTCCTTCATTTTGTGTGTATGTGACTGTTGAACTAGGTAGGGCTTGCTTTCAGAGGTCTTATTCAGCCACAATGTTACAAACAAGCTTCAGACCACTTCTGGTGGGAATGAGGAAAGCTTACAAAATTTTGCTGGAAAACATAAAGGACAGAAACAACATGAGAGACTTAACTGAATATCTCTTGCTAGGAAATTTTTCATCGACTTCTGCCTGTTGGACGACGCATTCTTGAAAGAGGCCAAGAGTCAAGTGGGTGGTTGGATTTCAATTCGTCCACCATTTTCCGTAATATCGTTCAGCGACTGACATCTGACACAGCTATGTGTTTGGAACGTTTAGACTGTTGGAAGTTTGTGCAGACTGCAATCATGGATTGGAAGACAGTATTGCAGGACACACAAGGGAAAACTTTCCCTGCTATTCTGATGATGCAGCAGGTAAGATATATGACTTCTTTGGTTCAATTAATTTTGTCTGTCGTATGCTCTTTGTGTAAGTGGAACTTCAGTGAAGTCTAAAACCGCTGTGAATTCACAGCTATAAGGTTTTTACTTTTATTGCTCAAAAACAGAATATCATATTACAGAATTGAGATTGATAAATTCTGATCACCTGAATGAGTCTAATTTGTGCTGCGCATGTATTTTTTTATTTCTAATGCCAGAATCAAATGCTAAAAGACTACATAACTGTAATTATAGGTATTGTCTGTAACTAAAATTCATGGGATGAGCTTTAGACACATTTCAGTTTTGTAATCTGGGCCGGAAGTACTTAATGCATTTGTGTACCTCAGAAACACAAGAGCTGAAAAGATGTTATATACAGGGTGTCCCAGGAGGAATGTGCCAAACTTCGGGAGGGTGTTCCTTATGTTAAAGTATGCCGATATAACCCAAAACACCTATGTCCAAAGTTGAACGGTTACGGAGATAATGGCCCGAGAAGTGTCAAACTTTGACCGGGGTTACACACTTGTTGATTACAAAATACATATTAAAACTGGCAGGAATATGTGGATTCTGTAATGTTAATAATGTACGTAACATCAAACCAACTTGTGAGTGACGGAAAGCCATAAAATTGAAGTACAAAATACTCGCTCGCCATGTCATAATTGTCCTTAGGTTTCCAAGCAGTATACATAACACATGACTGGCGAGCGATGACGTAACGTGCTGACTGCGCGTTCTGGTATGAGCCAACTACATAAGCACGGCTAGGGAGTATCATCGCACTCAAGGACAAACATAGATAAGGGCTCTCAGCTGAGAGGTACAGCGAGGTACAGTGCTTGGACCTGCCAGAAGACCACACTTTTCTTGGGCCATTATCTCCGTAACCGTTCAACTTTGGACATAGGTGTTTTGGGTTATATCGGCATACTTTAACATAAGGAACACCCTCCCGAAGTTTGGCACATTCCTCCTGGGACACTCTGTATATACAGAGTGTCTGGATGAGAGGTATCCAAGATAAAGTCATATCTCAGAAAGAATTTATTATACGCATTAATGGGTTACACCACTACAAAGGGAAACTATCAAAGTCCTTTCCTTAGTGTCTAACTTTCTCACTAAATTTAAATGTGGGCTCCCTTGGTAGCACAACAAATATCCGGGCTTGAAGCATGTTTGGTGTTGTCATAACCACAGCATCCTTTATTTGGGCTTTCAGGTGTTGAAGGTCGTTGATCTTAATTTGGTAGACAATGTTCTTCACATAACCCCACAAGAAAAAATCCACTGGGGTTAAATCTGGCGACCTAGGGGGCCTAGCCACCCCTGCCAGTTCATATCCCAGCCATCTCTCTGTCCAGGTGATTCCTAACATGGTGGAAAAAATGTGGTGGCCTATGCATGTAAGCTGGGTATGAAAAAGAAAACTTTTAGGGTTTTCCTTTCTGATGACATAACCGGATACGTATATGACAATTAGTTTCCAAGATATACATTTTTTATATTGGATACCTTTTATCCAGACACTCTATATACATGTGTGAGGGTGTTCAGGTTTAATGTGAACTTTATTTTTTACCTAAAGACATGGGTTCAAGAAAAATACAACTATTTTGTGAACAGTTGGTGGCAACACTGCACTCACGGCCTGGCAGATGTCCATGACCTGCTTCTTTGCATTATTGCTAGTACAAGATAGCGGCAGACCTTGACACTTTAGCGTACAGCAGTGCTGTATCATCAGATTCCTAGGGAAAGAGAAGGTGAAGCTGGCAGAAATTCTTTGTAGGTTAAATGCACAGAATGGGGAAGAGACCCAGTCATGTGCATGTGTCTGTTATCAAATCAATTTTCTGAAGGCTGTAAAGAAGTCTCAAACCTACAACATGCTGAAATTCAGCCAACAGCTGTGTATGTGACATGAACATTCACCATGTCAAAGTGCTGATTTTGGGAAACAGGCAAATTGCAGTAATATTGCAGTGACTTGCTTTGCAATGATGTGCACCAAACAATTAAGAAGGAAAGACCTCGGAAACTGTCAAAGGTCATCCCATTGCATGACGATGCCCACCCATATGTAGAAGATCGTACAGCTCCGAGTTAACCCCTATCATTTCCGTTTGTTTCGACCAATGAAGGTGCACCTAGTATGAGAGAAATTTCAGATTGGTGATGAGCTTAAAAGTTTATTCATTTTGTTACTCAGATTACGTAAAGGAAGCCACCTTGATAATAACAGAATATCGCTTCTGTTTCTCACATCGGATACATTCCGTTTTTCTATGAGTTTACTGAACATGGATGTCAGCATGTCATTTGTCTACACTGTATACTTTTATAATGTTTAATTATCCTGTCATCCTACCATAGGAGTTAAGGCAGCAGAAAGTTAAAAGCTAAAGAATATCTTTTTGTTTAGATCTCTCGTGAAGTGTTTGAAGCACTGGATGAGTCACTGCAGCAGCAGCTGCTGACTCAACTTGTGGTTGCTGCTACTGACTCTGAAATATCAGAAGTGGCATCAACAGCAGGAAGAGTCGTGAAGAAGATTGTCCTAAATTCAAAATTAGTTGCAGAACGACTGGAAAAAATGAACAATGCCCAAGTTAAACACCAACCAATTGTTTCTCCAGGAGGAATGATTCTTCGTTCAAGAAGGTGAGTTTACAGCATGAAAACTGCTGGAGTAAAGAAGTGAAATTAAATATTGCAATGTGAAGCTGAAATGTAATATCATAGAAGCTCAGAGGTTCTGGGTGCTATCAGATTTAGCATTAAACAGATTAGGAGTCATGTACATAACATAACAATTGTGTGGTGTTTTCTCACATCTCTTTAATTATCTTTAAAACTGTAAGACATATGGCAAAACTAGCATAGCTGGTTGAGGCTCTGTGCTACAATCTGGAAGGTTGTGGGTTCGATCCCCGATGAGGTCATTGGTTTTTGTCAGTTGACCTAATCCTATCTGCCACAAAATGGCCATGGGGTTGACTCAACCTCTAACAGAAATGAGTGCCAGAATCTTCTGGGGGGTTAAGGGCAGCTGACACATAAGGCTGATAACCTCATCACCATCTGCGAGCCGATAATCTAGTAAATGTGGGAGCCTCGACATCTCACAACCCAATGGGCCTCCATCGCCTATTACAGCGATACCTTTACCTTTTTATTTGAGATCATTGTGTTTCATTTTTCTATGCTGCATTTATTCAAAACATTTTTTCTCCAATAAATATTTATTGAGTTGTGTTCAAGATGGCCATAGAAGTGCATGTTGGCTTCTTGTCTAGTGATTGTTACTATTATTCAATCCAAATGAAATTGAAATGGCTTATAGTTTTATGTCAAATTTTGCAATATCATATTTAGTCAAAGTTGTTTCAAGCATACAAACAGATGAGTGAGTTTAATGGGTGCCCCTCAAAAATGTGAACATGCCTAAAAGGTCTAACACTTTCCTTACCCAGTAAATTTATGTTTCATACGATTCTGAGAATAAGCAGCACTTACGAGGGGCAGTCAAAAAGTTCCTGGAATGGTGGTATAGCACTCTAATGGTAGGGCATACGGCAACGCTTACCTAATCACCTTCAAAGTAAGACCCTTGCGCGCCACTGTTGGAAGCAGCTGTGGAAGGCTTCTTTTGGAATCTTCTGGAGCTCAGCCATTGCATTCAATTTGATGTCCTCCATGGTTGTGAAAATTGTCCCCTTGAGACCCATTTTCAGAGTAGGGAACAGCCAAAAGTCACTCAGAGCGAGATCCGGAGAGTACGGTGGTTGAGTGATGACAGGAATTGCTCCACAACAAGCGATGTGTGGCATGAATGGATCCATGAGAGATACCAACTTCTTGCTCCAACTCCGCGATTGTTGTTCTTCGATTACATGAAATAAGTTCTCGCACTTTTCCAATAATTTCTTCAGTTCTGGATGTCGAAGGTCTGCTGCTGCGCTGGTCATCCTCTAACGTCTCCTGCCCATTCTTAAACCAGGAAAACCAGTCGTAAACTGCAGATTTCTTTAGTGCAATATCACTGTAACCTTGCTGCAGGGCCAATTGTGTCTCTGAAGCAGATTTTCCCAATTTGCACATGAACTTGATATTTCTACGCTGTTCGAACTGTGACATTGTGCCGAATGACCTACACTCACGTCTAATTCAAATGGAACAGTAATGACACTGCACACTGAAACCTGTCCAGACCTGTTATGCCTGTGAGCAGACATGCTGAGTTCCCTACCACAACAGTGCGCGTGCTATCTTATCGCTCATTTTCCTTCTGCAGGGGAATTCTGGGAACTTTTTGACTGCCCTATGTATTTCTCTATATGGCATTAACTGAGTGGGTGTATGTAACGGAGATGTAGTGTGTTTTCTGCGGGGTAGGAACCAAGTTTTAAAATGTTATTTAGATGAACTTCAGGGTTAAGTTTATTTTTCATGAGATAACTTTTTTCAATATAGGAACCCTCTTGGTTTCTGGGTAAGAGACTGGCTTTGCATTCAAAGGGTTCTGAGTTCAACTGGCAGTCAGATCTTTTTAATGGATTTTTTACTCACAGATTGATGTATTCGCTTCTGCCCACCATAAAATTTTGAAAACTGTGAAGAATACCAGGTGCCCTGTGATTTGGTTCCTATGTTAAATTGTAGGTCTCCACTGACTACCATCATTCTCATATTTATCCTCTTTACTTTACTTTATGCGAGCTTCCCCCCCCACCCCACCCACCCGAAATGGATTTTACACCTTGCCCGAGGTAGACATCAGAGCCCAGAGAGATGAACTCAGACCATGTGTGGAAGTACTTAGTGAACAGCTTATTTCTGTATTCTGATTGTAATGCAGGAAAGTAAACCAAATACTCTCTCATGAACTGCTCAAAACAGAAGAGTGGCGATATGGCGTCACGTTGCTGGAATGGGTGCAGTCTAAGAAAAAGCTGCAGTCAACAGAGCTACTGTTATCACCTCTTTTCTCCCTACTTAACAAGTAAGTATAGTTTTATATGTCTAATTATAAGGGAGGCAGGTAACGTGTGAAGGCAAACATAGACTGGATTGATCAAGAAGAAATACAGTAATTTTAAACCAATTGATTTGAAAGGGTTATGTTGATGGCATGGTAACAGTTAGTGTTATCGAGTGTATCAACTTTGTCCATCATCTTAGCATTCCAAGCAAAACACAACATTTTAGAAGTTGGAGCTGTTAATGATCCTTGAGTGAAAAGATGGGGAGGCATCTATCTTGTTTGGTTGATGTGACTGAAGTGCCAGTCACTGGGCAGCCTAGACTTATCATGTCCATACAAAATAGCAGGTAAGTAATTAAAGTTGTCCCTGTGCTTAACTAATTAAGCACTACATCATGAAGACATATGGCGAGTGGATGTATAGATTACATTTTTCTTGACCTTGGCACTAGTTCGAGGTAAGTGGTCAGATTCACGCCCTGGCAGCTTTAACCCCGGGGAAAGAGCCCCTGGTACCCGTTGGATAGGAGGTTGGGTGGACTCCATGTTTTCATGACAGTGAGTGTTCAGATTGATGTGTTCTTGGATGTGATGTTGTGTAATCTTGTAGGTAGGTATCAACATTTTGGGGGAATATGTTTTGGATTTTACACAAAATTTGAACTTCACTTTTTTCAGTGATTTCTTAGCTGTCTTTTGCAAGATAATTACTACAATATTTTTACAGTTCAGAATGAGAAATATTTAGTTTTTTTTTTATTTGTGAAGTAAAACTAAGAGGAGAGAATTGCGGGGTAACATTCCCACCTCATGACTCAAAGTACACGGGTTCAAACCTGGCGGAGGTCGTGGAATTTTTAAGGAGGAAAAAATTCAGGGAACAAGTCCTCCAGGAGGGACTTTAAGCCGTGTGTCCCCTGTCGTAGATTTACAGCACAAAAGATCCTCTTGTCTCTAGGAGACCTCTGAGCAAAATTAGGCAAGTTTCCCACCCAAGTAGTTTCAGATTCCTCCAGTAGATGGGGAAGTATGGGGACCACTGCCAGAGAGGGCAACCTCGCTGGCAGAACGGGGCTGATAGCGAGCACCAGTACTGGAAGGGCATGGCGACTAGTATAATAATTAAAGGGGGACGCACAAATGGTTGCAGTGCATGGGGAAACCCATGCCCTCCAAATAATAATAATAATAATAATAATAATAAGAGGAGAGAATTCACAGAGAAGCTTATCTTATCAATGCACCCAGTTGTAAGATTGCATAGGCAAACTTACCAGAGAATATCTCCTCCTCTTTGCCCTCTTTCTCCCCCTCTTTTCACCTACTTCTGTTGTGTAAGATTCAATGGAAAGAAAGCCTCCTGTTTCTTGCATTTCCTTGCAGTAAAATAATGCAACTGTTATGTGTTTGCAGGTGTTTGGAGTTTGATGAACAACCTCCAGTGGAGTACTCTAAACAACTGGTGCTGTCATGCCTCCTCCATTGCTGTCAGAAACTGTCACCTGATAGCACCACTGTTGACACAGTGATGAAGCAAGCTCTTAATGTGGAGACACTGGTACAGTGTATCCGTGCGTCACAAAATCCACAGACTCATCATCATGCATTGCTTCTGCTGGCTCACATTGCTGGCATAATGCCCGTAAGTTTATAGGTTTCTCTTCTGTTGCACGCTCTGACTGGCTTATTCATTGCTGCAGTCACGTATGTAGTGAACAAGCCTAACACTTTCCTGTACAAGCAGCAGTGAATGTTAAGGTTAGTCTTCTGGCATGTGGCACTCTGAAGCCGAGTAGGTGAGTACCAACATTTGAGAGGGTGCCTGAATATGGAGGAAGCAGGTTTGTCCAAAGTGTTGGTACCTGTGCATGAAACTATACAGGATCACATCTCAGAAGGCTGTACTTTTTGTCCTTTGCTGTCCTCTGTGAGAATGCTACTGACATTGTAATTTTCTCATTCAGGTTCACTGCTGACAGTTGTATTTTTACACTGTACATTCTTTGCAACTCTTCTGGTAGTTTGAGAGGAGGAGCAGCGTTTGACAGTAGTCAAACAGCATGTGTCTATGTTGTTTTTCATGACTTCACCCATTGTAGCTTGTAAGTGAGAGAGCAGAATTAGAATAGATCAGAAAGGATTAATATGGATTAATGATGTACATCACAATTAGGTTCTTCAATATTATTATTATTCCTGTTGCAAATGTGTATATTGCAGAGGCACGATGGAATGACATGTGTCTTACACATAAATGTTTTTATCAGTAGTGGTAACTGACAACACAGTGTATTACTCTTGTTGCTTAAAATCCAGAAAATCTGAATTTATAAGGATCTGTGCAAAAAAGGCCATGAAACTACTGAAACCACATTTCAGGATAAGAGTGTAGGTGCCATAAAATTTAATATTTCAGTTCATAACAACTTGCATCTACAAAATACATTTTGTGCAATGATTGAATAAATGCAGTGCATTAATATAACTTGTCTAATTTTTGTTTAAACCTACAGGAGCAAGTGTTGCACAATGTTTTGGCTATTTTCACGTTTATGGGATCTTCCATTCTACGTCAAGATGACGCGTACAGTTTTCAAGTGATTTCCAAGATTGTGGACACCATAATCCCTATTCTAGTCAAGGTGTGTATACAGCATTCTCAGTGGCATGTTTGCCTGACATCACTGACTCACAACTGTCATTCTGTTTTGTGTCCAACTTGTTCTGATACTGTTGTCCTGTTTTGTCCTGTTTCCAGGCAAGTGAAGGCGTAGTGGAGCATAGCTCGGATGTGGACAGTGCAGTATGCTCAGTACTGCGAGTGTTCGCTGATACCGCACTGCATATCCCAGAACACAGACGGCTAGTTCTGTTTCATAAGATCCTCACTACCCTTGGTCCAGAGAATTCCCTTTGGTTGTTTTTGTGTCTGGTGTTGGAGGAGCATGTGATGCGTAGCCAAGAAGAACAGACATCAAGTGGTCGGCGGGACCGTGGAGAGCTGCCTCCAAGGCTGGATTTTGCTCTGAATCTTTCCAGAACCTTCTCACCATCTGCTGTCATTATAACTTGCATCAAGATGATTAAATATGTTCAATCTCTGCCTGTAGAAAAGGGTAAGGTTATTGATATTGTTTTGCCCTTTGATCTGTCAGTTACGTTCGAAGAGGGTATGTAAAGCCATATTGAAAGGAGAGAGACAAATGGTGTCTTCTGTGGTATTGTCACTGGTTCAGTTATAGACATTGATGGCCGTTATCTCAAAAATAGTTTGCCATCTTAAAGAAATATAGAAAATAAAATGTTCTTGACACTAACATCTAAAATTTCTACCTGATTCGGTGAGTAACTTAGCTGAGTAGAGTCCTCCTTAGGAAGCCTCAGCTGCAGTTTGCAGAAACTGAAATTTTGCTGTAGTGCCGTGCCCTCCGCCACGTCAATCCATCCCTCTGTCCATCAAATGAAGTGGAAGGACAGGCCGGATGGTACAGTCTGCTCTGAATGTTGATTCTAATAAGTTTCAATATTAGGGTAAAAGTAGTCTGGAAAGTTTTTCTGGAGGAAAAAAGAAAAATCAGTTTTCAAGTGTCTGGTATGAACCAAATTAAGTATCTTCATGAAATGTAGCTTAGGTTACCATATTTTATTCCAGAAATATGTATGATTTGCTTGAATGGAAGTCTTATATAGACTTGAAAGGATTCTGACGATGGTGTATACTGTACTTCTTTTGGCTTATTTTGGACTTCACCCATCGTCCGGTATATAAAAAAGACAAAAAACCACAACGTTTCGGAGACTGGATCTGTCTCCGTCTTCAGGTGTATAGGGAAGGTTTAACCTACTCAGTTGGGCCCCTTAGACTAGCTCTTTCTAAGGGGCCCCACTGAGTAGGTTAAACCTTCCCTATACACCTGAAGACGGAGACAGATCCAGTCTCCGAAACGTTGTGGTTTTTTGTCTTTTTTATATACCGGACGATGGGTGAAGTCCAAAATAAGCCAAAAGAAGTAAAGTCTTATATACTTTGTAATTTAGTTGACCTGAACCAAACACAAATGAAATGTGCACACAATCAGTATTATTCCTCCATAAGCTATGCTCATTTTGCTGTTATGCCTTTCTGTAGAATCTTGTTTTCCCACACACATTTATGCATCATCTGACAACTCCTACGGCAGCTCGAGATATATGACGTTGAGTGGCAGAATAATTGTGAGTAATGAATTAGAAAAAAATATAGCAGAAAGTTGTCGAGGTCTAATTTTAGGTACTATCCTGGAATTTTCTTGAGGGGCCTGAGGAGAACCACAGTAAACCTCAGTCAGGTTCTCTGGTCTGTGGGACAAGATTTAAACCAAGGACCTGAATATGAAGCAAGAGTGCTACCCATTCAGTCTCCCACACATGCAAATTTGATATCTCAGATTCATTGTTTTCCACCTTTCATCAGTTGTTCCACTGTGGTAATTATCCCTAGTGAGCGTGCTAATACAGTAATCCTGTTTTGCAGAAGAATCCAACAGACGTGGTATTGTACGAAAATCAGTGTCGTTGACCCTGGCTCTGAAGCTAGTACCAGGTCTGTTCAACGTTGAACTTCACACTTCTAAACAGTTACGTCATTTTAAGTTCACAATCTGCACATTTTTATCAACACTTCTGTCGTCTCCGTCATTTGTGAACCAGGTGGCAGCAATGGTTGATGAGGCCACTCACAAGCTGGAGCCTCTGTACCAGGACCTAATTGAAAATATGATGGTATACATAGAATGTGTACATCATCAACATGAGACAGCCGAACAGCAATCTGTGAAGTACTGGAGTGTCATGCTTGGTCTGGCACATGATATTTTGGACAAGGTACTTTTTCTGGAGGGGACTGTGCATCAGTATATGTTGTAAAGGGTACTTAACTGTATAGAATTCAAGGTTCTCACAGCAGTAGTTATGAAGAATTCTGTCCTCTCAGATGTAATGCCACGTGATCTGATGAAAGTCAACGTACATTTCATAGGAATATGTCACCTCCATCTTCAGGGTTGAAAAATAAGCCGAACAACAAACTGTGTGAAATAGGCCGCAAGGTTTCATGCTTAGCTTTCACTTCAACCCTGAAGATGGAGGCGACATTTTCCTCCGAAAGGTTGGTTGACTTTCAGCAGGCTACATAGTGTTATATGCCAGAAGACAAAACTTTTCAGAGTATTTACTTGTTTGTATAAAATGTTGGCCTCAGTGTCATCTAAATCTAAATTTTAAAAAATAAGCAGAAAATGTGGTTATAATACCAGATTGTTCTCAAATCCAATCTTTGCACACAGGAACAGGTGAGAGTTTCATATGAAGTGTATGTAAAGTTATATTATAGTTATAACACAGAAGTATTTATTTTAGTTGGAGTTATGAGCCTGTATGTTTACAGTAATGAACACATAGTCTTGTTGAGTAAGTATCCTTGTATTTGTTGTCATTTGTACAGAAATGAGAATCTCCATAGATCTGCCTGTCAGAAATTTCTACCTCAAAAGAAATTGCATTTAGAGGAGAGAATCGAAGGAAAAAAAATTGTGTTAGTAAATAAACGACATGAACAAATGGGGAGTTTAAATTTTTAGGGTGTAGAAAATGCTTTGCAAGTCATAGTGATGTTAATATTGTTACGTGTTTATGTCTAGACATAATGTTTGGATTCATAATTGGGTTTGTTGAACCCTTATAGCTTATAACTACAAATGATTGTAACATTCTCACAACTTTGCACTATAAATCACTACAATTACAGTACACACAAAGTATTTGTGTGTCACTCTGTCATCACTATTTGTTGCTAGGTAGTGGCTACTAACAATTCAACTGAAGACTACTATCCACTGACTCTGACCTCTGACTGACTGACTGACTGACTGCTGTATAGCCCAGTGATGACCACACAGAAGACGCTATTTCCAGCAGTTCCTCTATTGCTGCAGAAACATGTTTACCACACCATTGCCTAGCAGTGACCACCTTTCCTTGTTCAATTCTGGCATTTAGCAATCATTTTACAGTAAAAAGAAAAGCTATCCCTATATAACAGGCCGTGGAGGCCCGTAGGGTTGTGAGATGTTGAGGTTCCCACATTTTCTCTAGACAGTCGGCTCAAATATGGCGGTGAGGTTGTCAGCCTTACAGACTGGCCGCCCTTTACCCCCAAGAATATTCCTGCTACTCATTTCTGTTACAGGGTGAACCCTAGGGCCGTAGTGCGGTTGGAAGGATTAGGTAAATTGAAAAAAAATCCACTTCTTTGGAACTCGATCCTGTGAGCTTCTGGCTTGTAGCATAGTGCCTCAACCAACTACGCCATCATGTGCCCCCCCACCATTTTACAGTACAGAACTAAATAGTTTTGGTCATTTCTGTTTACCCATAAAACACTACGGTTGAAATGCAAAACATAAACCCCACTAGAATTAGAAGTTTACTATTTTCTGGGATATGATGCCATGCAGTGTGATAGAAGTTTGCTGATATTGGGGGTAATGTTCTACCTTCTATTCAGAGTCGAAGAATGAGTGGAGCAAGCAACCAGCAGTTTTCTACTTGTTTCTTGCTTGACTTATGCTTCAGCCTTGAAGATGGAGGCAGTGTGTTCCTGAGAAATGTCAGTTTCTAGTAGACAGTACGATGTCATGTCCTAGATAGTAGTACTCATCACGAGATTTTAAAATCCAGCTTATAAAATTGTCTGTACTGATAAATATATCTATGTTTTGTGAGTTCATATGTTCAATGAAGGCTGGAGGTAACAGAATTGTTTCTCCTCAGAGCAATTGCAGGATACAAAATGATGAATCATTAGAGAAGAACTTAGATTAGCAGTTGTCAATACCATAGTAAGAATCTGTTACAAAAAATGGCTAGAATATATGGAAAGATTGCTTGAAAACTGAATCTTGAATCATATATCAGTGTCCAGTAAATGTAAGAAGAGAAGATGCCTGAGAGAGAAGAAAATGAAGTTTTAATTCATGTAATCTTAACATGCCAGTAGGCCAAGAGCTTAATCAATGATGATGATGAAAGTGATGACTTTCTTTGTGTGTCAACACTATTTGGTTTCTGTTTGTCCAGGTAAATGCTTTGCTTCCTAGCACCATCTTCCTGATGGTCATTAAGGGTCTGTTGGACCACAGATTGCCAACAGTTCGTCGCAGGGCCATGGAGCTTCTAAATACCCGACTATATCAGACTTCTTTCTTCACCTCATGTAACCACAAGGCACTTTATTCACTGCTTACACCGTTATTGGCAGTGATGGGCAGTATTGGTGATGCTACAGTCAAACCTGATCTTGAGACTAATCAGCAAATAGCCATGTTGTCAGTGAAACTCTTGGCACGGCACCTTGCTCCTGAAAACCCATCACAATTCAAACAGGTAAATTCCTCTTTATCATCCTAGAACACAGATTAATCATTAACCTTTACCATCTGGGAATAAGGAATTTTGCATCTGTTGGTACTGTAGTGTTGGCAACCATGTTTTAATTATGTGGTAAAACGTCTTCCTCCAGGAATAGGGGATCCTGGATTTCCTAGTTATGCAGGGATGGTGGCTGCATCTTAACTCCAGAATAGTGATAATAGTATTAAAAATGTGGTGCTTGGCCACCTGGATTCACAATAATATGATGCATGGCTGGTAAAGGTTAATATAAAGAGTTTGCACTGATGACAGATCATTGGTCACAGCATCACATGATTGGGTTTTCTGCACAATACAAGGCAACGATAAGAAATGATATATTGAACTTTATTTTACTGGAAGGAAGAATTTACTTTTGAGCTTTCTGTTGAAATGTAGACTAAACAAATTTTGTGCCACAAATAGTGAATTTATCTTAATGCTGTTTGAAAGATAATCACTGTGATGTAAAAATAGATGTGAAAATTATAGTATCAATTTATTGCCACTTCCATATAGACAAACCCATCTACTCTTAAATAATCATCAAGGGTGTGATATTTACTCGTACATAGCTGTTACTCTCTTCATTGGTCACAAATGTGTTATGGACAAAATGGCTGACTCCTTAAAGTATCCAGGTGCTGCATCTGTGGTTCTGTTCACTATAAGCCATAATGAAATGAAATAATTATCACAGTATTCCACATTAAACTCACAAATATTCTGTTTGCACAAAATTATATTATTGCACTTAACCCTTTAAAGAACAGTGGTTATTGCAGTATGTGTTCCACTTGCTTTAACATGAAAAGATCTCTGCATTTTCCCTCACATTTTATTTGTGTTTTTCATATGATTCTCAAAATAAACTGATTATTTCCCTAAACACTGTTATTTAATTCATGTATGTAATGGGAATGTAATATGTTTTGTGAAGCGGGAACTTAATTTTTAAATGTTATTTAGATGACTATTAAGCTTCAGTATTTTGAACTTCAGAAGTTGATAACTGAATTTTAAGATGCCAATTTTTGGTGTCTCTTAATTCATTTTGACATGAATGATCATAGTTTCCATATCCCTTTCCATTCACACAGAATTCTGAGCTGCTTTCAGTAAATGCTGCAGAAACATTCACATAGTTTCCTTGATTGTACAAGTGGGGATTATTTGGCCTTGTTAATTCTTGTAATGTCATATGAAGTGAAGATTAGTTGTGAATTATGTAGGTGGTTTACTTCTGTGATAAAAATATTAAAGCCCTTATTACTACTAAATGCCACTAAACCTTGTGCTGAAATATGACTTTTGTATGTAATGGAACTTTGGTTTCACAATTAAGTTTTTGGTTAACATCTTGAAGCCTGTGGTTCATCCAAGTGATATTTAAAAATTTATTTCCTTTTTCACATAAATCATGCTGTGTCTCCATTATAAAGTTCAGCCAGTTAATGTTGTTTAGACATATAATCACAACTAGTTGTGGGAATCATACAAAACCCACGAATACACATGGGCAAAATGCAGAGGTTTTTAACGTTAAAGCAGATGTTACTTGTAGGTATGACTGTGCTTTATGGGGTTAAGGCTTATTTCAGACCAAAGGCATGTTATACTGTACGAAGACTGGTTTTGTTTATTTGAAAGAAGATGGCTCTGTACACCCACACAAGCATTATTTCTTCTTAAAGATTTTGGAACGTGTGACAGAACTTATCCAGTCAGAAGCAGTGCAGAAGAACCTCCTTGCATCAGTTGTGTTATGCTTAGCAGAACTTGTCTCTGCTCTCAGAGCCCATGCTATTGGAACTCTTAACCAGTTCGTGCCAGCTGTTATTAAAATTCTGCATGCCCAGAAGGAATTAGAAACGTAAGTACCATGCTGATGTGTTCTTTTTCCCTTGTTTAAATCTCAACTACTCTTTATTTTAACATCTTTGCTGTTACAGTTATTAACCTTGGGATGACAAGTCATCCAGTGAACAATTTTAATGTAAATAATATATTTTTTTGGCCTTGTATGTTTCAGGCCTTTGGGGCCATCATCAGAGGCTCAGCAGTAAAAGCAACTTGCTTTAAAATTGCAAAGAGCCGGGTACAGTCCCAATCGCCCAGCCCATAGCTCAGTCACTATACTGTTTGAGTTATCCCAGCTCCAGCGGCCACACCATATCTCAAGCGGTTAGTCACTGGCTTCCCACTGCGGTGGCCTGGGTTCGATCCTGGGTCTGGTCAGGTGGGATTTATGGTGGACAAAATGGCGCTGGGGTGGGTTTCCTCCGAGTACTTCAGTTTCCTCTGCTAATTTTCATTCCACCAAATTCTCCATCATCATAATCACCCGCGGCAGGTACAATAGGCCAGTCAGTGGCCACCGTGCCGGGTGGACCCAGTTGGACCCCACCCCCCACTAAGTGAATTATCCCAGCTCCCAAAATTTCACCATATACAGAAAATGAAATAGGAGCTCATATCTGTTGTGATGAGTTTGGTTTTCTTTGCAGGCCAAACCTGGTCCTGCTAAGTGTCGTCACGGCCACTCTGAAGATTGTTGAAAGCTTGCCACACTTTCTTAGCCCTTACCTAGACAAGATACTGGTCGAGGTCTCCATCCAGTTAGCAAAATGGCAACATATTGCTGATGACAACAAAGGGATACCAGTGGTGCATAAGCTAAAAGCAATCAGGTAATAAGAGTGTCAGTTCTTGCATACTTGAGTGTATCCCAGATAAGGAGCTATATAACCAGACTGTTCAAATGCAAATTATATTCTTAAGCCCTCCCCTATCCACTGTGCGACAAAACATGACAGTCAAATGGTTAGCAGTCCCTTATATTTTGGAGGTTCTGGGTTCAAATGTCAACCCAGAGTCTGGCTATCCCTAGTGAGTTTTTTGGTTTTTCCCTCAGACCCTCCAGGAAAATTCCAGGATATTACCTCAGATTAGGTAATAAGTGCTGCTTTCCACATCATTTCCAAATCATTATTCCTTAATCATTCCACTTTTTGATGCTATGTACTGTAGACTCGATTATCTGTGAGAATTGCAGAGGTCATTAGTTATTGAGTATTGCTTCCCATATTGATGTATTTCCTATTATGTACTAGTGGTGCTTTACAACTTTCATTAGACTGTACGTCGTCTCACCTGTTTCAACTTTTTGGTTTATCATTTTATTGCTTTTTGTGCCAGCCTACTTTCTATCAGAAATACAATTTTCTCGTTGCTTTGTGTTTTTTATATTGAATGCAGTATAAATAGTAGGGGTTTCCAGATTTTTGGATTACGTATTTTTTAATTGTTCTGCTACTTCTCCCCTCCACAACTGCTAATAATGGGGGCATCCGGTAGTGCAGTTGGTTGAGGCACTATGCTACAAGTTGGAAGGTCATGGGTTCAAGTCCCAATGAGGTCACTGGGTCTTTTTTCAATTGACCTAATCCTTTTAGCTGCACTATGGCCCAGGGGTCAACTCAGCCTGTAACAGAAATGAGCACCAGGAATTTTTCTGCAGGTAAAGTGCGGCTGGCGCGTAAGGCTGACAACCTCACTGCCATCTTTGAGCCGATTGTATAGCAAATGTGGGACCCTCAACATCTCACAACCTTATGGGCCTCTGAGGCCTGTTACAGGGATAGCTTTACCTTTACAACTGCTAATAATTGAAAGTTCACTGTAGTCTGAGCTGCTTGAAGTGTCATTAAATAAACCACAAATAAAAACAAATCCACTGCGGCAGATATGATCTCTTGCATTTGCGATCTTACCTGTCATGGCAGATTTCTTGTCACACCACTTGTGAAATAGTTAATTTCTGCTCTTACATATTTCGGGCAGCATATATATATCACTACTGGAAGCACTCCAGCAGTACTCTTCCTGATACCCCTGCATAAACACCTGTGGGGTGTGCCAATAACATTAGTTGAATGTTTCATGAGCAAAACTCTTACAGAAACTCAATACAAAGTCAAAACAACATGTTTTTGCTTTATTTCTTGGAGCCTTCTTAGGTGACATGGTAGATTGATGGGTGAAAGATTTCAGGTAGTATACTGTAACATAACCACAAATTAAGCTATCCTCTGCTGTAGTGGCACATGTGTGAGGGAAGATTAGTAGCACTGCTAGTAAAGGCTGGAAGAACTACTGTATGGTGGGTGAAAATACGCGCATTGCAAATATGTTTTTGAATAATATAAAATTGGTAAATTTTCTTTGAAATTTTTGCTGGCTGCCAGAGAATTCCAGATACTTTGATAAGGAATACTGGGAGTTTACCACATACATTAGTTCGTCTTTCTTCTTGTAAGATTTCTTTTTTTTTGCACCGCAGGCAGAAGTTATTGAGTACAGTTGCAGTTCGAGTGTTAACTCCAGCTGTAAGTCGATGTTACTCTCATCTGCTTGCACAGTGGCAGTATTCAGCCTTGGGTCCCCTGCTGTCTGTTTTGTCAGACAGTTTTTCCACGCTGTCCAGTTCAGAGTTCACACAGCTAATGCCAGAGTTCAGAGCCTTCTTCATATCAGCGCTGCAGTTCCGAGCAGATTGCTCTGCTGAGGACCCTGATACACCTGTTTTACCAGATGACATTGCACAAGCAGAGGGTTATGTAGTGGATGCTCTTGTTGCTCTTGTACTGAAACTCTCCGAGTCAGCATTCCGTCCCCTGTATTACACTTTGTTTCACTGGGCCACCAGTTCTGATGCTCACAAGGATCGTGCTATAACGTTCTACAGGTAAATATTATTATGTGGCAGTGAGATAAATGTGATTCATGTATTGAGGCTATACAGATCAGTATTTCTAGTGACATGAGTCTTCATGTGTGATAATTATCAAGTGCATTTATTTACATTCATTTTTAGCCTACTTTCTCATCTGTCATTATGTATATCGCAGGTAATTACATATCGGAACAGAATACAGTTGGAGTTGGAGGTATTCTTGAATCAGCATTACAGTGTCTACCCCTGCAGAAAGAAATTTTTTGTCAAATTTCATATCTTATTATACCCATACATGTCTTTCTCAAGTAATTGATATTATGTATTTTTATGGTCTTTATATTTAACAGATTTATGTAGAAATTGGAATGAGCCTTATGCTAGTTATACAAGAGAAGATAAAACCTATAATGCCATTATTGTCATCCGTCTATGTCCTAGTCTCCCTTGAAGTTTGATCCAGTTGAGAATTGTATAACTTGATATGAACATCGTGTGACTGGAGGTCAGTGTAATCTGTGAATATGTTAATATCATGCCATCTAGAAAAATAACATGGCGGTAGTGTGATGATATATGGTGAGAGTGACTATACCACCACTTAAAAAAATATGCTTTTTCTTTTAATTGAAGATTTGTTGTTTTAGGTTATGTAGAATTTGTACATCTCTGAATTATGCATTGAAGTGGGTCACCAAATCATTAAGTAATATTATTAATTTCTGGTTCTTGCATACTTTGCAATATTGAAATATGTGAACAAAAGTAGGCATTATAAGTTTTCCCAGACTTTCTTATTAATGTACCAGTCAATACTATGTTCATATTTGTTACTTTCAGTTTGTTTTCTGGTTTCTGTGCTAGGATATTTCAGTGATTAGGCTGTGGACTGGATGACTGAGTTCAATTCCCAGCAAAATCAAGAGATTTTTCTCTTCTCCACAGTGTCTAGACTGGCTCTAGGGCCAATCATTCATTGTTGTGTTACAACAGATCCCAAAAGAGAATTGTATACAAGGGGCAGTCAAGAAGTTCCCGGAATGGTGGTATAGCACTCTAATGGTAGGATATATGGCAGTGCTTACCTAATAGCCTTCAAAGTAGGACCCTTGCGTGCACACACACACTTGCTCCATCAATCCTACCACTGTTGGAAGCAGCGGTGGAAGGCTTCTTTTGGAATCTTCCAGAGCTCAGCCATCACATTTGATTTGATGTCCTCCATGGTTGCTAAATGTGTCCCCTTGAGGCCCATTTTCAAAGTAGGGAACTCCCAAAATTCACTCAGTGCGAGGTCCGGAGAATACGGTGGTTGAGTAACAACAGGAATGTTTTTCTTGGCGAGGAGTTGCTGCACAACAAGCAATATGTGGCTAGGTGCATTATTGTGATGCAGAACCCACTGTCCCTGCCACTTGTCATGCCGCTTCCTCCAAACTGCATCGCGCAATCTCTGCAAAACTTGCACATAGAAATGGCCAGTAACAGTACCAACTTCTTGCTCGAACTCCGCGATGATCATTCTTCGATCACATCGAATCGGTTGTCACACTTTTCCAATAATTTCTTCGGTTCTGGATGTCGAAGGTCTCCCACTGCGCTGGTCATCCTCTAACGTCTCCTGCCCATTCTTAAACCGGGAAAACCAGTCATAAACTGCGGATTTCTTTAGCGCAGTATCACCATAAACTTGCTGCAGGGCTGATAGCATCTCTGAAGCAGGTTTTCCCAATTTGCACATGAACTTGATGTTTGAACTGTGACATTGCGCTGAGTGATCAACACTCACATCTAATTCAAACAGCACAGTAACGACACTGCACACTGAAACTTGTTCGGACCTGTTGCACCTGCGAGCAGACATGCTGAGCTTCCCACCACAACAGTGTGTGTGCTATCTTATCACTCATTCTGCGTCTGTACGGGAATTCCAGGACCTTTTTGACTGCCCTACGTTTAATAAAACAACAGGATGCACCCAATGAGATAAAAAAGAAGAAAAAGAAAATCATTCTCCTGTTTAGGGACTCTTTTCTCTTGGGTTTCTGGGGGTTTAATATCTGGAGCACAAAGTTGACTACTGTATGTTGTACCAAGGTTAAGAATGTGGGGAACCATACCTCTCACTCCACATATATCTTCATGGTACGATGCTTAATTAAGCATAGGAACAGATTAACTTTACATTTTGCAGACAATGTCAGAGTTATAAGTAATATTCCTTCTTCAGAGGTTTAGTTTCTTTTACAGTTGTACAGAGTTAGAGCCTCTTTCTGTAGGTTCACCTGATGAACTACAGATTCTTCTCCATCCCAGTTAGAGTGAAATACCAATTTAAGTCTTGTTTGGAGGACTAGGTGTTTTAACTTTAAACTAGGAAAATGCAGTAAAGTTCTTGGACAGTGAGCCGTGCCATAAAACTGTTATTGCCTCTGTTGTGATTGTGCAGATTATCCAGTAGTATTGCAGAGTGTCTCAAGGGACTGTTTGTGTTATTTGCTGGACGACTGGTACCAAATGCAGCCATGCTATTGGATCGCATCAATGTCTGCAAGTCAAGTGAGAATGAAGCTGAAGGACAAGGGTATGAGGAAGCATCTGCCCAGTTGTTGCTGCAGTACTTGCTGCAGACATTGTACCGAGTATTCCAGCATGACAGTGGCCAGGGGTTTGTCAGTAAGGAGCGTTTTGATGCACTGATGCAGCCCCTTGTAGACCAGGTAAAATATAAATGCCTAATAATCTTCTTTTCCTAGAAAATAAAACTCCATGGACTGTAGTCTGCAAGCAAAGTATACCGGCCGAGCGAAGCCGCTTGTCAGTGAAGTAAGTGCAAACTTTAGCAGATAGAGGGTGTCACATGGTCAGCACAACCAATCCCCATGGCTGTTAATCTCTGTTTTCTAGATCAGAGCCGCTATTTCCTTGAAATAACTCCTCAATTATCTTTACAAGGCTGTGTGGACCCCGTTCCAGATCCACTACTTTTCAGAAAATCTGGTAGTGCTGGGAATCGAACCCTGGACCTATGAATCTGTAGGCAGGAACTCTGACCACTAGACCACATAGGTGGTCCTTCTTTTCCTAGAGCTTTGTCAAAACTTCTGCTTCTAATGCTGTCCAATATCATCTTGGTATACCAGAGTTAAGTCATAATATAGATGCCTAAATCTTGTAAAACTTTCTTCTTCTTTTTTTGTTTCAAATATAGCAATACAGTGGTCCCTCAATATGGAACGGGTTACAGTAGCAGCTTCCATACTTTGCATACTAAGTTACCCATGTTATATTTGAAATGTCCATAAACAGCCTGTAATTGTACTGTAGAATTTGGTCATTACCGTGGTATAATGAGGATCTACTGTATTTATGTTCTGGTTTACAAAATTTTACCATAAGAAAGAAACAGATACATGGAAGAGACCGTGTTATTCAGAATATAGCCTAAGACATACCTGACTATGAGGAAAAGTATGAAAACTTTGTAGATAGAATGCAGAGAAATATATTACCAAAGTTTGTGCTTTATTAAAAGAAATAGAGATCATCCGAGAAGGAGTTTGAAATACCAGTTCTTGAATGAGAATTGATGGAACAGAATTTATATACTCAGAATTACTGGATTTTTTTTTTCTTTCTTTCTTTTACTTTTCATGTACCTCAGCATTCAACTAGTTCTAGAAGAAGTGGAAGAAATAATTCTTTGTTAGCAACCAAAACATTGTCATTAGTTTTATTTTCACTAATACTACCAATTAAGTGTCACTGTTGTTATCCATATCTAAATAAGGGTATGCAGGTAATGCCTCAATAATTTCTTGAAAACATCCAATCAAAAATACAGTGTTTCTCAAAATGCAAGCTGTGGCCCTCCAGGGTTCTTAAAGCTTATCTTGGGGATCCCTGAAAAATGAACCAGTAACAGGGATACTAAATTAATTTTAATCTTAAAAAGTCATTTTACAAACATATATTTTAATATCATCCTTACTATTGAAGCACCCGTCAATAATGCAACAATATTTTAAAATATAAAAGGCATATTGAATATGTTCTCACTAACTGACGACGTGCATGGGAGCGCGATGGGCAAGTGAACAGTGCAGTGGCCTCCCTGAAAACAAAAGAAAAACTGCCTGATGATGGCCCATGTATGGCCGAAACATGTTGTAAAGCGAAGAAACGCATGAAAAACTAGCGACATTTTAGTAATCTGATAATCACTTTTAGTGTATAAGTTATACGTTTAGTGTCTTAATGACATTTTATAATTTTAACATCATCATAAAGTATTAAAGTTACACTTTTACTGAGAAACATATTCTAGATGTCTTTTATATTTTAAAATATTGTTGCATTATTGATGGGTGCTTTAATAATAAGGATGATGCCTCACTGCAACAAGATGCTAAAATATAATATAGTTTAACAGAAAAGTACTTCTTAGATATCATTGAGGTTCATTAGAATTTTTTTTAAATTGCTAAATCACATTTTAAGTAATAATTATAGACTTTGGGACCACTAATTGGTTGAATGACTCCATCTTAGAAGCAAATAGATTAGCTTCTGTTTTGTTTCAATATTTCTGCTGCCATCTAGGTGGGAAATATTGGAACTACAAAGTCTGGAAGATGCTGACAATAACTTAAATTATTATGGGGACTGACCTGCTTCACAGCACAGCTTGTGTAGGATGCAGTATGTTAATGTACTGGTTGCTGTAGTTTGTGATGCTTACACTTCCAGCTGGAGAATACACTGGGAGGCGTGGAAGCTTTGCAGTCTCGGGCATCTTCTTTGCTTACGCCTTGTTTGTCTCAGTTTGCTGTTGCTGTAGCAGATGATGCCTTGTGGAAACAACTCAATTACCAGATTCTGCTGAAGACCCGTCACGATTTACCACAAGTGAGTGCTTTAAGGTTTTATGCCCAGCACCTGACACATAGCTGCCTGGTTACAGATGAAATACTTTTTAAAATAATTGTTTTCTTATTATTTTTCCTTTGCTTTGGCTGTGAGCCTATTTCCTCTATAGTGTGAATCATGGCCCTCTTATGTGAATGTGTTATTCATCACCTAATGATACAGTTTCAGCAATGTGTGACTTTCGTTTTTGGGTTTATCTGCATCATGTGTTGAAGCTGTTCTGATGGTTTGGCATACATTGTAGTCCCCATCTTCAGGGTGACTGGATAGCACCATGCTCCAGACCTACCAACCTTACTCCTACTGCAAGACCTGGCCACATCCTCCTCCTGCCCCTGAGAAGCAGTAGACACATTGATAGCTGATGGAGAGTAGATGCACTGCCTGAATGCTGGGAAGGTGTAGTGACTGTTTGAGCTGGCTCACTTCATATCCGTTGTGAATGTATATTATGTAGCAGATCAAATGTGCTGTTGTGTGACTTAAAATTGCTCCTGTCTGGGATGTGATTCAGTGTTGTCTGGGAAATGGGTACTGTCATGTTAGAGGAACCTGCTCTCTCCATCCTACCCTGAAGACAGAAGCAGCAGTTTCTCTAGAATGTTTATATGTATCCACTAGATTACCTGGTATCATGTCCCAGGTTGTATAATCTTTTGTGACTGTTGGCTGGGTGCAGTTTATGTGTTATTGATGACATAATTTCCTTTTATCCTTTAAGGTTCGCCTTGCTGCCCTGGAGGTACTATGCGAAATGGCCCACAAGCTTGGTGAAGATTTCCTTCCTCTTTTGCCAGAAACTGTCCCATTTTTGGCGGAACTACTTGAGGATGAGGAAGAAGCTGTGGAGTCAGCATGCCAAAAGGCAGTACAGGACTTGGAGGAAGTTCTTGGTGAACCTCTCAAAAAGTATTTCTGATCAAGTAGCTGAGGTCAATGAGATCATATTCCAGCTGCTGTACAAACTGTGGGTATGAGTAAGGCATCGAGTCATTCTTTAAGAGTTGCAGGAATTGATCTTCAAATTCCTGTTCAGAAATGTCTGTTACATGAACTTGAAATGTTCTTTGTCACTGAACTGGCAGAGGATCATTACTGGCACACTGTGTCTAAAAATGAAGAGTTTGGTTTTCTATGTTGTACCACCAGAGAGAGCCCAGTGTTTCAGAGGAATGTATGACTTTCATCTTTAGGGTCAAAGATTAAGCCAAGCAAGAAACCAGCAGAAGCATGTAGCAAGCTGAATGAATCAAGCATGAAATATTTGGCCTGACACAGGCCAATGCACGCCTGAAAGGAACTGTGAGAGAGCCACTGGAGGGATGACCATTGGCCATAAAAGGGACTTAAGTGAGGGCCAATGGGAGTAAAGGAGGTGGCACCCTGGGTGGGCCCTGAAAAGGGCCATTTGCTTGTTGAGTGAAGGTAGCAGTGGAGAGAAGTTGTATGTATGTCTAGAGAAGAGGCCAGCCAGGGATGACTGGAGGAAGAGGCAACAGAAAAGACCGAGGAGACTGAAGCGATGAACTACTCAGTTACTCAGTAAACAGAAAGCTTATCTTCTGTCTTATTTATGTATGTACATGTACATATACCTTTTTAGCCTTTAAACGACTAAAGACAACGTACGA